TTCGAGCCCTGCAGGGACCATAGTTTTTCTTTTTGCGTACAGATGAAGACCCTAGTTGAAGTACCACCGCCACCATAAGGCGGTAATGATATTTTTTCCGAAATTAAGGGTTACATAAGAGAAGCAAGCGGTCATGATCACAATTACATGATGCATCTGTAGTACAGTTGGTAACAAAGGTAAAACTTTTATAACTTGACCACAAAGAGAGAGTTTGTGAGATAAGTATCTAGTGGTTATCATTCAGGAAGTGAATTTCACCGCTTGCGAACTTCCTGGTTGTATTGTGATGAGGAGGTTGAGGAGCTGGTTGACATGGGATCAGCGAAGGACGGCGATGGTGTTTTGTTTTGTAGGGCAGTATTGCTGTCTTCAGAGTCTTCCTCATCGTCTGATCGTATGTCTTCCACATTATTGCTGCGCACAAATTTGATAGCAACTTTGATGATGAGGATGAGCCAGAAGAAGAGGATAAACTGTAATCCCAGCAAGAGTCCTAAGAAAAGCCGGTGTAATGCATATGAGTAGTAATGACCAACTGATGGCTCCCATAGGTGCTGAATATGGAGTGGTGCCTCAACCCAAACGCTCCAAATTATTCTACCAAAGACGATTTGACGCGTAAAAACCCATGAAAACATGAAGGCCACAAACGTTGCCTGAAGATTGGGGGTCAGTGTGATTTTGTCAAGGGTGTCTCACTCACATCACAAAGTTTCTCCCAACCCATGTATTTGAGTACTTTTGCACCCTGGATAAATGTCAGAGAGTGCGTATAGGATTGAGCTTTACTGACGTCTAAAAAGATATCTGATTGATCCATTGTGACAAGAATTGCTTGTCCTACTCTTGTGTAGTTCGTGACATACGAGCTAACGACTAATGATACAGTGATACAATGATGCGTAAACATCTCTAGTATACCGTTAATAGTGAATGAACAGTAAAGTGAAACTCACGCCAGTGATCCTTGCGCCTTTTTTCAATGTTCAACACAAAGAGCTGCTGTACCCAGAAAGCAGCCTGAGCGAGGTAATAGATTTTATTGATTTTGTTCATTTTAGTATGAGGGTAATCTAGCCAGAAGTGCTGTGTCCAATCGTCGTACAACGGGCTAAATGGAGATTTCAAAACCAGGGACATTCCCCAGGACCAGAAGAACATATAGTATAGACAAGACCAGGACTGTTCAGTGAATCTAGCGATATTCTTATGTCGTTCCTTCTGTGACGTGTTCATGGACACCAGCTGCTTACCGAGCGGTCGCAGTAACCACCGTATAGTGTACTCGCGCAGCACCAACAAAATAGCAACCCATTGCAGCACGAACACAGCGTCTAGAGGTCCCTTGGCGTAGCTACTCTCATCCAGCCTGTAATAAGGCTCAAATGGATTTATCGTGATCATCGTTGCTCTTCTTCCTATTTGGCTGCGACGACGAAGACAGCACAAGCGGAATGAAAATATATGAGGAAGGAAGCGAAGAGCTCAAGAACAAGCTCAAGTTGATAAGAAATGGCTGCGTAGAAGGACCTCAAAAGCAATCTCAATTGGCGTGCGTGCTTCTATTCCTAGCGTCAGAATCTTACAGTGACATAAAGAGAGGCACATATAGCAGAAATCAAGGAGCTACTTGTGCAGTACACATCCCCACAATCTGGCTTTTACGACTTGACAGTGCTCAATTTACTCACCCAATCGCTATCTAATCTTGTCACTCAACATCCATCTAATCAGAAATTAGTTTGGAATGAATTCGGAGATCAATTCCCTCGGCTTATTGCGTATCCTGATATGCAGATCGTACAGACATCTCTCATTTTGATCCGCAACTTATCCTCAACTGCCAACGTCCGTTTGTTATCGCGAAGGCCTGTTCTCATTGCGTTGCTTGATCTCTTTATCAAGTTGGAACGCACCCATGAAGATGACGATAGCGTTTTTCATTTGGCGTGGGTTTTGTCTATCTAGATAAGGCATATCTGACCTCACCAGTTTCGTCATCGTCTCATCTATCATCGAGAACGAAGACGTGGACACAGTTTGGAATATCCTAGAGTGCGTCAGGGGCTTCTTCTTTGCTCATCCGCTCATTCATTCTAAAGCACATTCGAGGATGAGCCTCTCACACCACCTCAAGCAGCATTCATAAAGTGTTTGGATGCGTACATTCACCAATCTGGCCCTGGAAACCTTAAAGCTCTGTTTCTCATACCCTTTCTGATGCGTACACTCGACTTTTGTCGCACTTCAATGCTATCATCAACATCAGCGCAAGGAGAACCAGATCCGCGCTTGGGATCGGTTGTTCAGACGTCCTTGGTGGCTGCTGAGACCTTCACTGTCTTCCAATCAGCCTTTGAAGAAACGAGGAATCATCCACTACTCGCAAGTGCGAGGTCATCCCAACTACCAGAATTAGCTGTTGGTGCGTGCTGCTCGAGCGACGAGACTGTGAACTGATCTAGCAAACAGGCGCACTCGAAGCTTCATTAGAATTTCTTCCCTCAATAAAGCCCTTCTCAAAGGAGAGTGAACACGACGATCCGCTAAAGCAATTTGCCAACTTCAAGCCGGCATTGATGCGTCTTATTTCTGTCGTTGCGGGAAGTGACGCAGATGTAAAAGAGCGTATAGGAAGTGTTGGTGGCTTGAGAGCGTGTATGAATTGCGCACACGTCGATATGCGTGAGAGTTGTGAGTTCGAAATAGATTTTGAGGCTTTGTTTAACTTGACCAAGCTCAAAGAGAAAGTGCTCTCTTCACCCTCTCTGTACTTCTCAAGAACCATACAAGCAATCAGCAACGTGTCCGCGATCTTGGTGATACACCTGTTGGTGTACTGGATGCTCAAGGCGTTCTGCAGCCATTTGAGGGCAAAAATACGCGTCAGATCTAGGATGCTATTCGTTTATAACTTAATGTATTATTACATGGTAGCATTGCCTTTTTTTACTATAAAATAAGATTGTGATACCGCGCAAGTCATTTAAAGCCAGCAAACGCGAGAGAAGTAACGTCGGAAGCACTACACGCCAACTTTACGTAGATCACCACACATCGCATAAAACAGATTTTTATCACCTTTCTTCAAATCAAACGCGTCGTCATGACTCTTGTGAATGCATCATGTTGTCTGATCGCCCTGCGAAAACAAAGAGGAGAGAACCAATCAATATTGATTTCCCTTACTCTGATGGCGATAAGCAGCTAAATCCAAAGGCCATGTTAAGCTCTAAAGTTGATTACGAGCTCAAGGACAAGGACAGTAGTAGTTACAAGAAATACCTGAAGCGTGCAGGAGAAGATATTGCAAATGCTTTAGGATTTGAGGGTCGGTTTAAAGTCATTCATCCACACGCTCGTCTCATTGCTCGTACAGATCCTCACCTTTATCAGCTTCAAAGTTTACCTGAAGGGTATCGCTTATATGCATTCGATTCGAAAGAGAACGGCATAAATCAGAAAGTAACTTTCTTGTTCGGTGAGAATTGATTGGGTAATTTTACACTACAACCCCACTCATACCCACTTAAAGGCTCAATTCACGTAAAGAAATTCACTTCAATAAAGGCATTTACACCACACGCAGGTATGTAAGCATAAAATTACAGAGCGAGCACTCTATAACGCTGAAAATAGTCTGGCTCAAGACTGATAGGAAGCAGCGGCACGAGAATTGCAAGGTGTGTAAGAAACCTTATTTGAACGCACAATTCACAAGAATTAATGTAGTGTAATAAGCGTTATCACGTAAAGCATACCTTGCGCTCTGAAGCTATTAGGGTTACTATGAAAGATCCAGGGCCACCTCCGCCGACAAATAAGACAGTGGTGCGCCAGCAAGACTATACCATCCAGCCACAAACAGTAGCACCTCAAAAGCTAGATAGAGATAGATCGACCCCATCGCTTTTACGGTTGTATGAGCTTTGCTGGGTGCGTCTCGATAGACAAGGACTGCCTTTTCTTCCGCCACCGGATATCGCAACCGAACAACACAAGCTGTTCGTCGATAATAACTACAAAATCGATTATTGGCCGGGTGAGGTTGTTGACTTTCAGTTTAATGTTGAGGTGAGAGATGGTCAACCGATACATAAGCGTCAGTTTGAGGTATTCTTGCTGGGCACAAAGACACTCGTCATGGTAGATGAAGATCGAATAAGACCATATCTCTCATTAATAGTCCAACAAAAACACTTTCCTCCGACATATTTCCCTCTTCCCCGATTCCAAAATAAGCCAGACGTCCTGTTCGAAAATATCTCTGATATACCTCACATAGCTAATCAGGATGTCTATGACCGGGCGCTAGCTCTAACCGTTGGGATTCGAGCAAGCTGGAACCTGAAGCATCACGTCACACCTATTGATCACTACCAACTGATAGTCAAATACCAACCGGAGCCGCTCGATTGCTTCAAAGGTATATGGCTAGGCGGGGAGATGATTTGGCTCGGCGATATGGTGCGCCTGCACAGAAGTGTTGGAATAGAGGGTGGACAACCTGAAAATGCATCATCTATATGCATGTTGGTATATTATCTTATAGCGCTCGACTCAACGGTGCACGCTGTCGGAGCATTGTATGCAGTCGAGCCCACGAACGAACCTGCCAAGCCACTGAAACATTATCCGGATATTATGTTGGACCAAGAAGCTCAGAGACATATACCACTTCCACCGTCAGGACATAAGTGGAGCAGATTGGCACAGGGTAAGCATCACACTATACCTATCGACGTTATCGGCGGTCGATACTACCCGAAAGTACAGTGTGAAAGTGGGACAATAAAAAATCAACTCATGGGATTGGAGCCGGCTGACGATGCGACAATAATGTCTTTTAATTATCACGAAGATGAAAGTTCCTTCAAGCCCTATGTTTTGAGTGTTGACAGGAATATTAGCGTGACCGAGGCGGAAGTGAGTCGACATTGATGATGTTGCGTTGTAAATTTAACCATTGAATGTAGAAGTTGTCACAGCTTTATTATCTGGAGCAATGGAAAAGCTTCATATCGCAGCTGCAAGAGCTCGGTAGATCCAGAATGGCGTAGCTGTGGTGATTACAATGAAGTGTGTTAATTGGTATTGTTTTACTGTACAATCGTTAAAATGTAAACTATATAAATTATTAAATACTTGATACGCTGCAATGTGTTTCCTACGTTAACCTATGATCTGCTGGCGTTCCTTTCTACCATGCACACAATTAGCCATTAAAGGTGAAAAATGCAAAAAATAGCTCAAGTATGCCTATGCTAGCTATAAGACTTTTGAAAGAAAACAAGCACAAAATGATGATGATGACGATTAAATTTGAATATATTGTTAATACGATACATGTTAGAAACTGTGTCCTTCAATACTTCTTAAAAAATGCGGAGTCAAAGGGGGTGCTGAGTTCTGGAAGCTTTTCTTGACTAG